GAGTTATAAACGTTCTTTTCTTGTGTAGGTTCTTCTCAAGCTGAGATTGGTGGCTTCCACTTCTCATTTCACCTATCTTACGTCAAAATGCTTTTTCGTTTTGTAAGTGAAACGAGAAGCGTCAGGCCGAGAGCGCGTTGAGTATGCGCCTCTGCGGTACCTATGGGAAGCTGGCCGGGGCACCCACTATACCCAATTTTGCTACGCAGCCGCAAACATGTTGTATAGCATCGAAAGATAAAGAGAGAGATTTGAAAATGAAAGTTCTACTCAAACTTTCTCGACAAAGCATAAAAAGGAAAAGTGGCACATTGTATTTACAGAAAGTTCTACATAAGCAAAAGAATGATCAAACGGTCACAATATTATTGAAGTTTGAGTTTCGAGGATTGCAGCCCAAAGTGCGAAAATAATCACATCACTTGAACTACCTTTGATATTTGACAACTGCCAATACAGTGGCAAGCGTTTGTAGCAAATGCTCAATTGCGCCTAAATTTATGCTGTGTTGCTGTCGATTTTTTTCGAAATTATGTTGTTCAGGGCCTCCACTACATCCACAGTTCTTTTCTCGAAAAACACGGTTGTCTAACCTCTGCATGTTGTCTCGTAGATTCTCGTTGGCAAGTGAAGATAAGCAACTATGGAATGGGATTTCTGCACAGTACCGAAGAACTACCACTGAGAAGTAAGTATGTAGAAACTTTTGGTCTTGTCTCTTAACAACATGCTACCAAAGTCTAAGCCCCTCAATTAGTACTAGCCCAGAAGTAGGTTCCAGGAGAGGAGCATCTGCATTGATCCACTACTCCAATGTGGTTTCTGAATGGAGAAAGTCGGGTGTATGTCAAGAGAGGCGATTATTTTTGCTAGATAAACCCTAGTACCTTTTCAGTACTTTATCATCTTCTAGGAGAATTTAAATTTTGAATAGATATGTATGAATGTCTCATGGGTTTCTCAACCTTATCGTCTTGAAACGGATTCACAACATGAGTATTGGAGGTCAAAAACCCTTGAAAATGCAACTACTTGCGTTCTCGTAATTATTTCAATTAAGTTTTCACTAAAAGCCGTCTAAGTTAGCAGATGGTAGCTTTAATTAGTAAGAGCACTTTGTCTGGTGTTCTCAAAAGACTCGCCTAACCCTAAATTTCGCTATTGAATTGGTGATCTCTACAAAATCGGGTCTCTTGACCATACACGAGAAAGTGAACCCGGAACCTACGAAAGCGCAATCAGGCCACGCCCACCCTACGAAGCTCCGCCCATCCAGATACGGAATGTTGTCTGCGGTTCAGGGCTACCAATAATCGGGTTTTTAATATGCACAATTTGAACTTCATAAGTA